CAAGGCTTCGCGCAAGAAGCGCAGCATCGCGAGGCGGAGAGCACTGGAAACGTTCTTCGAGGGCAATGTACGGCAGGTCGAGAAGAAGAGCCGCGAGGGATATCAGGCGGGTTTCTACAGGCACCTACCTGAAGATGATCGACGTCGAAGGTAAGAGATCGCTCACCTCTCAGAACATGNAAGAAGAGCCGCGAGGGGGATCAGGCGGGTTTCTACAGGCACCTGAAGATGATCGACGTCGAAGGTAAGAGGTCGTTCACCTCTCAGAACATCAAGGACGAGGACGGCAAGGTCCTTCGGGACCCCACGTTTATTCGCCAACGGTGGGCACGGTGGTTCCACAAGCTTGTCAACACCAAGTCGCCGACGATCGACCTGCATGCGGCTGACAAGGTCAAGCGGTGGCCCACGTGCGTGCCACTCGACGACATCCCATCTCTACTTGAGGTTGAGGAAGCGGTACGGGAAATGGCCAACAGAAAGGCCGTCGGGCCGGACGACCTACCGGCTGAGCTGATCAAGCTTTTCCTGGACGGAGATCAAGGTCTCCTCCGCGAATTCCACGCCATTGTCGTGGACGTGTGGCAGACTGGGGACGTACCACAGCAGTGGAAGGATGCCACCATCAAAGTGCTGTTCAAGAAGGGGGACACGATGGAGTGCGGCAACTACCGGGGCATCTCTCTCGTCGCACACGCCGACAAGGTGCTGTTTAAGGTCGTCGCTACACGACTGAGCCATTACTGCGAGCGAGAGGGCATCCTCCCGGAGGAGCAGAGCGGTTTCCGCCCACACCGGTCGACGCTCGACATGCTGTTCGCCATCCAGCGGCTCCATGAGCTCGCGAGGAAGAAGAGTACTGCGGTGTTCGCGTGCTTCGTCGACCTCACCAAGGCATACGATTCGGTGGACCGAGACCTACTGTGGGACGTGCTCCGACGCTTCGGCGTGCCCCCGAAGATGCTGGCGGTCATTCGCCACTTCCACGAGGGCATGAGGGCGCGCGTCCGAACGGACGACGGGCAGTACTCGTAATGGTTCGACGTGGGCCAAGGCCTCCGACAGGGATGCAACCTGGCCCCGCTGCTGTTCAACTTGTTCTTTGCCGCGATGCTCATGGTCGCCGTGGCCGAGTTCGACAAGGACCCCAAGGTGACGGCGGACATGGTCAAGATCGGGGCACAAGTGGAGTACACGGGCTAAAAGGGCAAGTCGGCGGGGAAGCAGACGACGGTGGTGACGGACGCGGAGGCCTTGTGGGCCATGCTCTACGCTGACGACGCGGCCATCGTCTCGCGCTCGCCGGAGGATCTCGAGAAGATGATATCGGTCATCGTGCGCGTGGCCGGCCTGTTCGGACTGATGGTGTCGGAGCCAAAGACGGAGATCATGTGCATGCTGTCGAAAGGGATCGAGGAACGCCCGTTCACGGTCAGCGCCGCCGGCCAGACGTACAAGCAGACAGATCGGTTTGTGTACCTCGGACGTACCATCTCCGCGGACGGGAAGGCCGACCGGGAGATCACGAGCCGCAGCTGCCGAGCGTGGAAGTGCTACCGCCGGAACGGTGCTTCGATGTAGGACAGGCGACGGGCCAACCGCCAGCTCAAGAGCCGGCTACTCCAGGCTGAAGTGGTGGAGACTCTCCTGTATGAGTGCGCCTCGTGGAGCCTAACAGCGGAGCACTACACGAAGCTCAACGGGACCCATCGCCAGTTCCTTACACGGTGCATCGGCTGGAGCAAGCGGGAACGCGCAGACCGCCCCCTGTCCTATGTCCAGGCCCTCATACAGGCAGGCTGTGAGGAAACCATCGAGGCCACCGTGTGCAAACGGACACTGTGTTTCGCGGGCTTTGTGATGCGCATGCAGGACAGCCGCCTCACCAAGCGCATGCTGTTAGGATCGATGGCGGGGGGCGTGGGATACCGAGGCGGGCAGGAGAGCGACTGGGTGT